GCCAATAACCTGTCTCTCCACAACATGGAAGCTCATGTCAGGCATCATTGCGGCTAAGTGGACACATGGATCAATACATGAGCGAAGCACAGAAGGGCATTGGTAGAGATACCAGAGGAGCCAAATATCAGCTCCTGGTTGACAGAACAGTCGCACAAGACTGCAGTTCCCGACATACCAACCTGTGCACAGCCTGGATTGATTACAAGAAAGCCAATGACTCGATGCCACATACATGGATCACTGAATGCTTGGAGTTGTATAAGGTGAACAGGACCCTAAGAGCCTTCGTTGCGAACTCGATGAGGATGTGGAAAACCACACTTGAAGCCAATGGCAAGCCACTTACCCAAGTGTCCATCAAATGTGGCATATACCAAACTCTAGCACTCTCCCCACTGCTGTTCTGCATAGGACTGAACCCCCTAAGCCAAGTAATCACCAAGACAGGCTATGGATACCGCCTCAGAAATGGAGCTACGATCAGTCACCTCCTCTACATGGATGACATAAAGCTGTACGCTAAGAGCGAAAGGGACATAAGGGACATAGACTCCCTGATCCACACAACCAGGATCTACAGCAGTGACATCGGGATGTCATTCGGGCTTGAGAAATGTAGTCGGATGGTGACTAAGAGAGGAAAGGTAGTCCGCACTGAAGGTGTCTCACTCCCCGAAGGAACAATAGCAGACATTGAGGACAGCTACAAGTACCTCGGTATACCACAAGCCAATGGCAACCTCGAACTGGCAACAAGGAGAGCGGCTATGGCCAAATACCATACATGGCAATGGCGAGTGATGAAAAAAGCGGAAGGGGCGTGGCCTGGACGGGGCGTGGCCGTGACGGGGGCGTGGTTACTTACAAAAGTGGCACTAAACATGCTGAAGATGAAGTGTATTAAATTTACACAGTTTGAAAATTGAACAGAAAAAAATCCCAAGAGCGCCACTATTCTTTCAAGTGAAAATTTGTGCAATTTTGCCTATGCATTCCTGGTGAGCACCAATATGTAACTCCAAATTTGCTGCTCAAAATCAAAACTAAAAAAGTAAACACATTCCCTGCCATATTTAAGATTTGTTCATGACTTGTATTCATAAAGTGTTGTGTAAATGTGATAAAAAGCTGTTGATTCTTACGTCATACAGTGATAGTGAATATTTATTATGCATACAATTTATTATGCATAACCGTGCTTTATTATCCAAGACAAAACGTGAATTATCAATATGAATATAAAACGCAAATAAAAACAAATAAATGTTATCATGCTGTTGCTACAAATGCATACCAAATAAAATTGAAAAGATCATCCTCGTATATTTGAATAAAAAAGTATATACCTCGGAGTGTACCTGTCTATCGGCGAGGGGCGTCAGTGGAGCAGATTTCGTTGCTTGGTTCAGCCAAAGTAAGTACCCCAGCGCGTAACGTCTTTAGTTGTATCCGCTGACGAAGTTTGTTTGAAAAATGCCGATCCCAAAGAATAATTGCTCCGTCGAATGGCGATTTTGTCGGCATGTTTTTTCACTTTTGTTGCATGATCTGTCAGTGCCACGCATCCACGG